TTATTCTCCCTGCTCCTTTTCGCTCAATGGTGTGTTTGTAGAGACATGTTTTGTTGGCCATTATTGTACATTTGGTTTTGCGTACCATGAGCGGGACAAATAAAAATGAAATGAAATATCTTCACTTGTTCTTCAAAAACGAGCTCGCTTGGCCACTTTCTAACAAAACCAGTTTGCAAATCGTTCTTTTATTGCTCTTGCAAAGTGTTCATATTGTTACGGTGTGTGCCGGAAGCAGGACCCAAATGCAGATTAAAGTGTCAAAAATATTTCCTTTATTTCAAGACTAAAATATAAACTAAGACCGAACAGAACACTCACCGAAGACCAGGTCATGACACAAGACGAACCGACAAAGACAGACAGAAAAAACACAACTTAAATACACACAAGACTAATTATACAAACAAGACACAGGTGAGGAGGGAGGAGAAAACACAGGGGCACCAGGTGAACACAATCGGGTAATCAGACACACCAGGGAAACTAACGACAGGGAACCACAGACAGATTTAAAACAAAACACAACGCAGACAGAAACAGGCAAGACAGGAGGTGAAGACCTTTCAAAATAAAACATGAAACAAAAGACAGAAAAAGACAAAGTACAACACAGACAGATCTTGACACAAACACAACTTCAAAGCAGACCGATTTCTTCAAGAGCATAGTTGGATTTAGTTCTCCCGTTTTCTTTGCATTTCCTCTCTGATTCTTGCGTCCACAGGTGAGAAACGTTGACTTCGCGGTGCTCGCAGTATATTAAATGAATTGTTGTGACGTGGTCTGTCTGCTTGGCTGTCATCTGTGAAACATGTCATCTGTCCTGAGCTACCACTTCTCCGGGTCTTGTGAGCGCTGCAGAGACTGATGGCTTTCTCAGATGTGACCGTGTGCTTCTGGCTCCTGACCGCAGTCAACCAACCCACTCGCCACCTTCTGAATCCTGCCATCTGTCTTTCTCTCAGTGAGCGTAGCTTTCTTCTCATACTCCATCTCTCTTTCAGTTCTTCCTAATCTGACCACTTGGTACGTTTAAAAGCTGCACTGGGGGGAATTTTGATGTTGAATGTTTAAGTGGGACCAATCCCCAACTAACTCACGCACCACCATTCAACTAATTTAAACATTTTAGTCTTCTTAAATTCTCTAAAACTTTAAATAATGAAGATCCAGGTTTGTTCTGTTGTGCAGCATGAGTTCGTGATGACTTGATTTTGTAACTATATTTCAGATCGGGCTCAAAACTTACTCAAGTAACGTTGGTATATATTTTCTTATGTTTTGTCCCTTCTTCTATTTGGATAAAAGGCATCACAGACTGGAAAACTGTGCACTTTATTCTAGGAATAAAACCCAATTACCTTTTGGTGTAATTTGTATGACGGTGTATTTGGAACATTGCAGGTTGTTGAACTTTATTCCACCTTTAACTCTTTCTCCTATCAGATTAACTTCATCTATCTGGCTCATGTTGTTCATCCGAAAAACATTTTGATACCTCTTCCATGTTCTTGCAGTCAGCGTACTGTATCGGGTTTCTGTCAAATTTGCATGTCAAAAGCACGTAGACGGATCCATTGTCGGGAACCCAGAAGGTAAAATCATATCAGTAACATAAGTACTCTTAAGCAATACTCATACCAAACCTTTGCAATGGCTGCGATTATCCGAAACCTTTTGTTTTTTCCGTAAACGAGGCCTCAAGGGGATGGAGCTGTATGCCATCAGCAGCCATGCGGTACAAAGTGAGTCTTGGCTACATCACAAACTCACTTGTTGGACGTCTCAAGCCTCCAGAAATAGTGTTTAGAAAGTCGCCTCCAATGAGTATGAAAACATTGCGTCGCCTAACACATAATCCAAATCATAGGAAAATGGTGTTTGGTCCCCCGACAGCGTGACATCACCCAACGTTTCCCTTCGTTGACCTTTGTCAGATGGCAGGGCTGAACCTGAGATATTCAACATCTAATATTCCCTAAAACAAGCGAGACACAACTGAAAATTATTTTTAGTTAGTTGGAGGCTCTGCTTGAAGGAACACCAAGAACAAATCCACTGTTCCGTAACGCTCAACACATTTCCACTCCTTCAGTATTCCCAAACGTTAAGCAGTGCTGTGTCGGGGTCATTAAAGTCTCCAGAACGTTAGAAAAGGTCCAATATTTGGAGATCTGAAAAAGGGACATTTAACCACAAAAATCTAAATGAATATTGTTTTCTTTATCCGTAATACTATCTAGATTGTTTTGGTGTGATTTGCAAGTGTTAAGGCCTACACACCAATCTGACACCGAAGAACGGACGGAACACGATTCTGTCGCCTCGCGTCTTGGCCAACAGTCGCACTGGAACACACCGCAACGACTTCAGCCGACGGCCAAGTAGCACGTACGAACTGCACATGCGTGAGTGGCAATAACTCTCCTTACCAGCAGGCGGCGGTAGTGTGTATTCGTCATTCAAAAGAGGCAACCGGAAGACAGACTGCGTGATAACCGAGAGAAGAAGAACAGACTGCGTGATATAAACAAATAGCGTGTTCCATGTTCACTCTACAGCGAGAAGCTCACGGGGCTTTCCCGAACCTGAGTCGAGAGCTGGAGTTAAATGACATCTCAGATTTGCCTTCTTAATAGTTTGTTTGGGTCCCTCACTTCCGTTTCGCTTCTCATGCACTGATTCGCTAGCTGAACAGCCAATCAGAGTGATTTATTTTGCCGACAGCCTCCGGAAGGTGTCGGCACGGCCGAAAAGACACGACGGGGCGGGACACACCAATCTGAGTAGGGCGACAGGACGCTCATCGACGACCAGACATCTGTCGACATCGGCTTGGTGTGTCCGGACCTTTAGAGATATCAACCATAAAGATGTCTTCTATCCAGATGGCATTCAGCTTGTGGTGTTCAAAGAGTCTGTACAGTATAATATTTCTAATAAGTACTCCTATTGAGTCTGAGTATAATGTTTAAATGTTGTTCTGATTCAAATGTTTTCATGGTGAGGCAAATTGATCCTAGTCTACACAAATAAAACTGACTTCACTTGACTGCAAAACATATAGCAGGCATAGTATCTAAAGTGTGAGCATTAAAGAAGGACAGTTCCCCAGCATCTAAATGACCTGTCGTGCCAATTTTGAATATAGATTGCTTTGCTGCGTTGCCATTTGTTGGACACATTGGAGATGTCTGCCTCCTTTCCACTAGTATTGGCCTATGGTGCTCAAAGCGCAACAATAATACATTTTTAAAAACTCTAGGGAAATGTCTCTTTCTAGAAATCATGACCTTGTTACTCAAGATAATCTACAGATGTAATTGTTTAAATCTTTCTCACAAACTCGGCTCGCTAAAGATGATATTTTTAAAAACTCGACAGAATAAATGACCCTCACCATAATCCACAGAGCTTGTTAAGAGCAGTTTGACTCTGACTACTTTTAAATCCAGCAAGAAGACTTTTCATTTTGCCGCTGCTTTTAATTGAAACTGAGCCGTTGTGTTCATCAGTAAAGTGGAACTTCGGTGTGAACTATTCACATCTTAATGCACTGTAACTTTTTATTCATGTACTTTTTATTCATGTATTTTCTTTTAATGTTTCTTTTATTATCTTTTACTGTTTTTAAATGCCTTTGTCTGAATGTCTTTCATTTTTGTAAAGCACCTTGAATTGCCTTGTGTTGAAAGGTGCTATATAAATAAACTTGCCTTGCCTTTGATGTTGGAACTATTTTCTTTCCACCAAACTAAACCCACCAATTGTTAGCTAGCAATCTCAGCAAGCTAACGGTTAGCTGCGCTAGTTATGTCATCTTTTTAACATCTGGTGCTGGGATGAGCATGGAACTGTTATCCCATGAGTAGATGCACACTTTCTGTAGTTGGGTAGAAAGAAAATAGTTCCTACATGGATCTTCTCACAGCGAGGTCTGTGTATTGTCTTCAGTAACTGGGTGATGATTTCTGGAGAGAGATGTATTTTCTAGCTCCACATTATGACAGCAGTCTAGGAAATAAGAACATTATATTGGAAAGAAGGGAAACAACTCTACGACTGATATTTCCAACACTAGCAACTCACACCAAAGCAATCTAATGTATTTTGAAAGATGGCACCACAAGTCAAAATGAATAAAAGTCGTTATTTTGGGGAGCTATCTGTTTGTATGTGAATACCTCAGAATAATATACTTCCCAGAATCACAAATTAGCATCATAGTGATTTCCATTCTGAACAACATGAGACCATTAAGACCCTAGAGCACCTGGGAGACTGTAATACAGAGCATTTAACTGGTGTCGATAAGCGCTGGAGGAAATGTGTTATTTAGGTGTTTAAGGGACACGTCTTGTGTGTTTTGGTGCCAATGTGCTGTTTTCTAAAGTGTTAATTTCACCACCAAAGGCAACGATAGACAAACAAGTTTTGTCACTGGAGGCGAAAAGCATAAACAACTGCTTTGATTCAGTCTTGAAAGGACTGTTTGACTGCAAGTTGTTAAATATTCTAAATATAGCATACTGTTGATGTTTACAAGATGGACCTTTCTTTAAGTTGACTAACATATATGTTGCTGTTGTTAACGCCTGAAAAAACGGTCCATCTGAATCTAAAACACGACAGTAACTTATATGTTTTTACCGGACATTCATTCGCGTGAACTCCAAAGTTAGATCTTAAAGTATGGCTGATCGAATGCAACCTCCCCCACAGAGATGATATACCCACCACCAAGTTTCTGATATTGAAATAAACTGATTATTTTCAGTAGTTTTTACAGCACCAGGTTTATTGACTGCCCCCCTCCAGGCCCCCCCCAAAGCTTCATGACCCCCCGCTGCTACCAGCTGACAGTGGGAGAGGGAGGAAGAAAATAAAAGCATGGCGGAGAAACTCAAGCTTCTGGGAAAACAAACACTCATCTTGTTTCATGGCACTTTTCTTTTAACCCTTTCACTCATTCTGTTGTATTCTGAGGGACACAAACGTTTTAAAAGCATATCTCTTCTTTTATTGCAAATACATATACAAAAGATTCTTTAAAGACAGTACAAATACATGGCAAGATCACAGAAGGTGAAAACAAAGTATTGGGAACATTGTGATATTAGGAGATAAAGGAAATGGAGCAGAAAGAAAGGACGGTCCTTCTTGTGATCGCAAAAACAAAAGTTTCAAAACTCATAACATCTTCCAGTTCTTCCAGCCATAGTTTAAAGTACAACTCAAAGGAAATTCACAAATAACAAATAATCCGTACACATTTCGTTAGATAGCCCCAGCCCCCCCCCCCCCCCAGACCCTCAGAGAAAGGCAAATACATACTTAAAATAGACATTTAGATAAGATAAATAAACAATAAAAAAGACGATTACAGCGTGTACCATTTTGACTAAGAACCTCCTGGGTTGAAAAAAAAAAAAAAAAAAGGGGGGGGGGGGGGGGGGTGATATGCAATGTAAATTTCAAAAACAACATTTAATTAGTTATAAGAATAGTATGCAAAATAATTACTTTGAAATAAAATTAAAGCTAATAAATAAATAAAGTTTTAAACTGGGTTTGCCAAGAGGGGGGAGGGTGACCAGCGTGGTAGGAGACTAAAGGGCGGGGGGGGGGTCGGGAGTCAAAGGTGACTTCCTGTAGCTGTCAAACACACGCTGTTGGACGGTAAGTGTAATTTCAGCTGTGGCCATCACACACACTCTCACACACACATACAACAAGTTTGAGAAAATGTAAAAAATCCAAGGCACGGATGGTGGAAAGGGCTGCAGTCCCCCCCCCCCCCCCCCCTTTTTCAAAAATGGCATTGTGAAATCAAGCAATCATTACAAACTGCCAGAAGAAAAATAAGAGAAACATACACAGTACCTACGGAAATATCAACAATCGATAAGTCCTCACAGAGGATTTTGTTTTCTATCATCATCTCTCTAAAAATATATATATATCGTTTCTATCAAGATAGCAAGGCACGACGTGAGCCAATCACAAGTCCAGCTGTTCTACTCTTCAAGTGTCTGATTCAGGGAGCCCCTCTCCCCAAATTCAAAGTGTTTTCGGGGGGTTTCATGGTCTGGTGAGCTGGGTGTAGACGGGTGCTGGGTCCCAGTGCTGGGGGCCGGTCTGAGGGACGGACGGCACCCCCGCGTTATCAGCGATGGGTGTGTACATTGGCCTCTGACTGCTGCCACTCATATAGCTGAAAGTCGAGTACAGACCCGAGCTTTGTCCCGCCGCCGCGTGGCTGTAGTAAGAAGCTGTTCCTGCCCCCCCTTGGTGCTCGGAGTAGTCGTACTGCTGCGCCCTGGAGGAGGTGTAGGTGGAGGCAGGGGGGCTGTAGTGCTGCAGGTTGAAGGGGCTGAAGGCGGCGTGTTGCGGGGAGCTCTGCTGCTCCGTGTAGTGACTCGGACTCAGCTGCTCCGTCTTGATTTGGGTCCTCTCGGAGGAACTGACGGCGGCCAGAGAGTGCTGGGTTTGGGTCTTTGCCAGCCATGCTGTGTTCTGAGGGCTCCCTGGACCCCCTCCTCCTCCTCCTCCTCCTCCTCCTCCTCCTCCTCCTCCTCCTCCTCCTCCTCCTCCTCCTCCTCCTCCTCCTCCTCCACTGATGCTGTAGCTGCCGGTGTACGTGATTGGCGTGACGCTGCCGGGGATGGCGGGGTGTCCGTTGGGGGGCAGGTACTGGTCGAACTCGTTGACGTCAAAGGTCTCGATGTGGGAGATGACGTCGCTGCTCAGCTCGCCGATGTCCACGTCGCGGAAGTCGATGTTGAGCTGGCGTCCGTCTGAGAGAGAGCGGAGACCCCCCTCACGCTTTAGGTCCATCTTGCCGGAGCTGATGTCAGTCTTTGGGGTGGTGGGGGGGGTGGGAGGCCCCTGGGAACCTGAGAGTGAAACAATATGAGACAGATTAGACTCTGCTTTCAGATTAGATCAGGCTCTCTGTGTTCATTTTGTGTAATCCAATAGGGTTTGATTTGTATCAACTTTTCAAAATAAGTCATCAGAGTATAAGGAAGAAAATGGAGCATTATATATATATATATAATAAAAGGTTTTTAGTAGCATTTAGATTTTCTTTCTTGTTTCTTTCATTTAGATTTTCTTTCTTTTCTCCTATTTGCACGAATTCACCAAAGCAAATCCCTAGTAGTGCAAAGCTCTGCTATTTACACCAGCTTCTGATTCTGGAAATGTCTGCCTACTGAGAGCCATCTGTTCTCTGAGCTCACCTGAGAGTTCCCCCGGAGAGTGCACCTCTCCCATGCTGGAGGCCGGAGAGTCTGCCTGCTGCAAGGCTTTGAAGATGGCGGTGGGAGAGATGTGTGTCTGCTCGCTGCCGTCCTCCGCGTCGCTCTGCCCGTTCTTCACAGACTTCCTCCGCCGGGGCTGGTACTTGTAGTCCGGGTGATCCTTCTTGTGCTGCACGCGGAGCCGCTCAGCCTCCTCCACAAACGGCCGCTTCTCTCCTTCATTGAGAAGTCTGCGAGGAAAAGGGACCATTAATTAACCGAGAGTGCATCACTTTAAATGATTTCCCCAAACAAAAAACCACCATGTGAACTATTTAATTTGGTTTGCATAGAAGATAAACAGTAAATGTGCAACACAGAAACCAGGCCAAACTAGATACAAATCACATTACTTCTTACATTTGTGCATAAATCGGTGTTTAAAAACCGAAAATCCTCGCATTGACACTCACCTCCAGAGTTTCCCCAGAGTTTTGCTGAGCTCCGCGTTATGCAGGTGAGGATATTGATCCGCGAGCTTCCTGCGGGCAGCCTGAGCCCAAACCATGAAGGCGTTCATGGGTCTCTTCACGTGAGGCTTGTTCTTAGAAGATCCGTTTACGCGCACGGGCATGGGCACGAGGGTCCAGTCGTAGCCCTTGAGCACCTGGGACACAGCGTCGCGGATGCAAGCGGGAAACTTATCGTCCTCCTCCTTCTTGAAGTCTGCGTCCACACCGAGCAGCCCGTTCTCTGAGGGGCGCGTGTTCTCGGTGTCTGAGCTAGAGCCCGAGGGGCACGGGGAGCCCGCGGAGTCCTCGGACATGCTCGGGCTGGGGGCGTCAGAGAGACACTTTTCTTGTTCCTCCGTCATCTTAAGGTAAGGGTCGAGGAGATTCATACGAAAAGCGGTGTGGTGCCAAAATACGCGTGAAACGGAGGAGTTCTTTCTGATGCCTTACGCAAGGAAAAGTCTGTAAATTAGACTTTACCTTGTCAAAATGACCAGAGTCTATCAGCTGAGATAAGTGCACAAAACAATCTCTTTTGCTCCCGTGCGTAAAATCGATTTGGATTGTCTTTACGCACACGTTTCTGTCAGACTCCTGGGAAGAGTGCGTTTTCTGCAAGTGGGTCCGAGGAAGCAAAAACAAGCCAGCTGGTTGAAAGTCTGCCTTCAACTGTGCAGGATGAAACGGTAAAGTGTTCCTCTCAGTCTCCAAGTAGAATCCCCAGAACGCGCGAGTGCTTTGAACTGCACACTGTTCGCCTTCAGCTTTTATAAGAGCGCGAGCATGCTGCACAGGAAAGCCCGAATCTGATTGGACGACAGCCTGTGACGTCAAAGTGAAGGAATTTGATCCCATTTGTTCCCTCTGCTAACCAGCACCACACACACACACACACACACACACACACACACACACACACACACACACACACACACACACACACACACACCACACACACAACACACACACACACACACACACCACACACACGCACACCGAACTTTCTCTTAAAACACACATACAGACACATATGTGCCGCTGGATTTTCCTAAAGATATTTACAAGGCTATAAGGGCAAAGTTACATTTAAATCGACTTCTGGAATATAATTGGTTATATGCTAAAAGTGATATTTACTATGAAGAAAACATACAAGGAGGAATTCATTGCAAAATATTGATGAAGATTATAGAAAAAACCTGTAAAAAAGAAAGATTATCAGTTTAAAAATGGTTATTCATGACATTTAGCATTATCTTCAATACACACTTTCTACTTTTAAAAACGTTTTCTGGTGTTTTAAAGTGTCTTTCTCTTCACTTTGTCCATAATCACAGTTACAGCATGTGGTCAATAGGGGGAGACAGCAGTCTAGGAACACACTCCCTTTCTGAAAGCAGCAGAAGGAGGGAGGAGGGGAAGAGGGTGACTCTAGGAGGGAGGAGGGGAGGGAGGAGGAGGGAGTTGGAGCTCCTTTGGACTGCTGCTGTGCCGGAGTTGCTGTCAAACATCAGCTCCTGATTTGTATCTTATTCCCAACAACTGAGCAATGATCCGCTGAATGGTGAATACTGTTCACTTTGCTGACTGCCCAACTTCCACACTGACCTTTTTTTACCAAATGTTCCTCATAAAGTCAAGACATGTTTTTTAAGAGCTGTGTTTCACAGAATTTTAACTTTATTTCCTTTCTGGATTTATAGAGATATTTGAATCCTAACTGTTTCAATACACTACTAGTTTTGTAAAAGCGCTGATGACTTTAAGCATCAGATCAACTGACGGGAGCATTGAGATCCTTTACGTGCATAAAAGTAGCAATACACCCAGGTCAAAAATACTTAATTACAACCTGCTTTCACAATGTTAAAGAGAAATACAGAATGACTATCGGTGAAATATAAAAAAAGCTCTTACTATGCATAACAAATTAAGTTATATTACAATGTGCATTAATATCTGCATGAATCCGTCAGGAACATGTTAATGTTGCAGCTGCTCGATGCACGGTTCAATTCAACTTCTGTATTTACTGTTGAGGAGCTTCATCTATAATAGTACAGCATATGATTTGCTTTGAATGGAAACGCCTGCAATTGCCTTTAATAGGAGACCCTGGTTATGTGAGAAACACATCTTTAACTTTGGGAGAATTTAGGAGAAGTTGAAAGGTGCAAAAAGACAACGTATAGTCAAATAAACCTGAATGTTAATTTTGGATTTGTTATGTTGGAAGAGATTATGAAAGCTGAGTGTTTGCCCTTATTGTCCCGTCAGAACTGCTGCATGCATGTAGTGGATGAAAAACAACCGTATTTCCTTCAGAAATGTATTTGACACAAAGTTCAAACGTGTACTCAAGCAGTACATGCACTATCCTGACACCTCTTTTTATGTGAGTCATTTATGAGTGCACCTCTCCTCACTAAAACACACACACACACACACACACACACACACACACACACACACACACACACACACACACACACACACACACTGCCTTTGTCCTCTCAGTTCACCCAACGTTGCCACTCTCCAATCAGAGAGTAATAATCCGTGCTGTGCTCTGGTCACTGAAAGTACCCCCCCCCCCCGCCCCCCCCCCTCATTTGATTGTTTATTATGCTTTGTGGAGATGTGGAAATGTAAATCTCAGTTCAGCCTAATGTGGGCAACATGTGCTACCTGAAGTCGCCTTTAATCGCTCACAGATGTCAGGTAGAGCTCGTTTCAGTCACTGTAGCCACACACACACACACACACGCACGCACGCACACACACATACACACACCATGTATACATCACTTCAGGGGACATTACATTGACTTACATGCATTTCCTGGAGACTTATCCTAACCTTAACCATAACCAACACATGCCTAACCCTAACCAAGTCTTTCACCCTAAAATGAATGATTCCCCTCATGGGGACCTCCATTTTGATTTAGGTCCCCACAAGTATAGTAATGCTAGGCCACACACACACACACACACACACACACACACACACACACACACACACACACACACACACACACACAGCTTTTTACAACAGATACAACCCTTTCTCTTTCTCTGTTATGTTGCTTGTTTGCGTTGAAACTCTGAATCACTCTGTAATTCTTTCTCCCTGACCAATTAGACCTGCGGTTCCCAAACACTACAGCCTAACATCGGTTCTTCGGAGTCCGTTTATTTACCCGCGACATGCTTATTTAAGGTCCTCACTTTGAACACAAATAGCAGGAGCAGTTTGGCTGTGCGTTAATAGCTGGTTGGACGACGCTGTGGTCGCGTGCGCTGCCGTTACACAACGCCACTGAAACTACAGCGTATTTGCTTGTAGAGCTACAGAGGCGTGAAGAGACTCAGAGCTGTAGCAGGAAAACACTGCGAGGCTGTTGACAGAGTACATGTGAGGATGGCAAAGAAGAGGAGGAAGAAGTGGGGCAGATGTCTAAACAGATGTAGAAACGAGCCAATGTTGCTAATAATAAGGAAAACAAGACATATACTTACAAGGCGAGGCTACAAAGGCAAAACAAGTAGTTGTGTTTTTAGATTTTGGGCTATTTTTGCTTCCATAACATTTCTCTCAGATTAGCACAAAGAAAACATCCAAAATACACATTCAGGTGTTTATTTGACCAACTCTGCGTCTCTAGATTTCTTCTAGAAAGTTAACATTAGACAATGCTTCATTTTCATGTTAAGAACAATATTTTGAAAGATGTGTGAAACCAGAAATGCTGATTTTAATTTAATTAAACAACTGGGGACGTTTCATAGTGATATCTGCAAAAAGCATAACATGGCCTCTTTAACAAATCATTCATAGCATTGTATGAAGTGATTTAATAAGACACTGCCTCATTTGCATATAATATAATATATATATATATATATATATAATTGGATGACCATTTCAGTTTTCACTTCATTTCACTGTAAATTAAAGGTGATATGTTTTGTTTAAACCCTCCGTCTTGCAACATGTATGGAGTTTTGACAATACATGTATCTTTAAAGGCAGATGTCTTTGTCTACATATCAGTCCAAAGCGTATTTATACAGCATTTTACAAGATCATTTAATAAGATATTGCCTCATTTGCATATGTAATGAAACCATTTTCAGAAAATGTATAATGCACACGATAGTTGTCACGAATGTGTTCAATCAACTGAGGATGTTTCATAGTGATTTCTATAGTTAAAACACCCTTTGCTAGTACACTGGCAGCTGCTCAGCTGTCAAGAGGATCTGCACACTTGTAAACACACGTACACACACACACACACATACACACACACACACACACACACACACACACACACACACACACACATACACACACGTACATACACACACACACACACACACACACGTACATACACACACACATACACACACACGTACATACACACACATACACACACACGTACATACACACACGTACATACACACACACACACACACACGTACACACACACACACACATACACACACACGTACATACACACACACGTACATACAGACACACACACACGCGTACATACACACACACACACGTACATACACACACACACACACACACACACACGTACATACACACACACACACACGTACACACACACACATACACACACACCACACACACACACCACACACACACGTACACACGTACACACACACACAACACACACAACACACACACACACCACACACACACACCACA